TGAGTGATATCATACCATCTGGTATGGTATAACATGACATGGTATGGTATGGTAACTTGGTATTGGTATGAGTGGGATATGGTATGGGTTTTCCATTCCATGGTACCATGGTATTGGTATGGTGCTCACATACCACCCTGGAATGGGTACCCTTGAGGTACCCTTAAATCAAAGAATTCATATACCTCGGGGGTACCCTAAAATGGGTGACTGAAGTGGTTGAACCATGTTGGTCAAGATAAGGAAAGCGGCGGCGACATCTGGAACGACTACATATAATTTCTCAAAGCTGGCAAGGTGCGCCTCTCCATCTCTTGTGTCGTGGTCTCCGCTAACACATTCTGGTCAGATGACAACGACATGGGAAGAACAGCAGAAAATGGACGCATTGCGCAAGGTTTATCATAGCGCCGTCCAAATTCCCTTGGACAACGTCGAGCGACTCTGGCAAGAACTCGAAGCATTCGAGGTAAATCTCAACAGGATCACCGCTAAAAAATTCATGGCCAACCTCTCACCAGCCCACATGCAAGCTCGTACTGTCCTCCGTCACCATGCCCTGTACCCTCTATCATCCAATGTCATATTTCTGCCTCCGTTACCCAGGTTTGACGCATCAGAACGGACGCTTGTTGGCAAGTGGAAAGCGTATCTGAAGTGGGAGGAGAGTAATCCTCTAGAGATTGAGGAGAAGGAGAAGGCAATGCTGTTCACTCGGATCCAGGGTGTTTATCGCAAGGCTGTCATTCGCATGAGGTATTACAGTGAAATCTGGTTCATGGCGTATACGTGGACGAATAGCGTGGGCAAGCATGTGAGGCCCTCTTCATACTAAAAGCTGGACTCGAGGCCAATCCGTCAAGGTGAACATGTATTGCTATGCATCCTGCCATCTAACTAACAATGTTTTAGCTACCGGCTCACCTTTGCCTACGCTGAGGCTCTAGCGCTCAAGAAAGATTTCGCCGAGGTTCACACCCTCTACGACAAGTTTCTTGAAACGCTACGTGGTCAACTCGAAGCACTCGAACAGTCCTCAGCAGCAGCAAACACATCCTTATCAAATGGGAGTGGTACCATCAACGGAAACACAGCGGCGGCAGCACTCCCTGCCAGCACTTCCTCAGCAATCACGGAAGCTGGCATGTATTCCAACAACACGTCGTTCAGCTCCCAAGCCTCTGAAGAGAAGCCACCAAAGTCGACTGAGGTCCAGGAACGCAGGATCGAGTATGGATTAGCTTATATCATGTACATTCGTTTCGCACGACGAGCAGAAGGTGTGAAGTCTTCAAGGATGGCGTTTGGCAAAGCTCGAAAGGATCGATGGGCTCCTTGAGAGGTATACGAGGCTGCTGGTATGTTTCTGCTAGCTCCCCAATCTGTTCAATGCCTGATCTTGGTGCAGCTTTGATGGAGCACCATTGTTCTGATGACAAGTCCGTCACAAGTCGTATATTTGAGACAGGCCTGAACACGTTTGGTGATGAGATCGAGTTTGTGATACGCTATCTTGGTTCTTAATCTCCATCAATGATGAAAATAGTGAGGCTTCTATGTTTCTCTTTTCATTTTCAACTTTTAACGACTTATCTAGACGCAAGAGCCTTGTTTGAATGAATTATTGGTACTTTTCCACCAGAGCGAGCCCGGTATGCCCGAATTATGCCGGTTGTGTTCAGGTTTTGTTGAAGATATCAGATTCATTGTTTGGCACCTCCTGTATCTACATACAGTTTGTACCATAACTCAGCAAACAACCGACCAAGCAACCTCGTATCCAAAAGTTATGAAGTACTGATCCTATCCTTAGTAAGTACCCTAGGTAAACGCACACAAGCCATACAATCGAGTCATGCCTGACACAGAAAGTAATGATGATGATGATCATCGTTCTGTTTAGAGCATGCGAAAAACGACTCACCAATTTTCAAGAACATTGAGATACAACAACGTTGACCAAAGCCTGGGCCGACGCTGAATCTGAGAGAAGATTAAAAACACTTGCTCCCCGCTCTATCCAATATTTTAGGTATTTCTTTTGCAATTCATTATTACGCTTGATGAGCATAGGAGGGTGAAGCCTTTCAGATTTTGTAGTCGCAAGTCTCTCCGGGATGAGAGCTTGATGAAATTAGATGCGGAAGATACGAAAGAGAGCAGGGAACTCACGAAGATTTTAGCCATGCAACCATACGTCGCAGGATCTCTGTATCATCATGATCGGAACTGTTGAAGCCCAGGGTATCAACAAGGACAAGCCATCTCCTAATATCTTGCGGACAGGGAATGGGGAAAGGTTTGAGAGCTAAAGTGCATGACCTGAGGCTATTGCCAACTTGTGCCACATCTCGGTTCAGATAAGAATTGATGAGCTATTGATCAACGTAACCGACGCAGAAATATAGCCCAACGATAACTACCCACCGTGCTCCTTCCAGCACCTGTTGTACCCATGACACTGTGTAGAGGTCGGTGTGATTCAACCAATGCCGGGTGAGGGAGATACGTACAGGACAATGATATCGCCTTCACAGGCATCAGAGAGCAACTCGTCTCGAGATTTTGATGTCACCTCGTCTTGTGGTTTTGATTTTTTAGCACCTCGAGAGAGCTTGTTTCCCATATTTTGTGACAAGGATGATGATGGAAGATTCCAAGTTGGTGTTCAAGATGGTAGTTAACTTGGGAGATGGGTGAGTGAGGAGGGTTGGCTCATTAGCCCAAACCTACTGGCGTGATGCCTTGACAGAGACCATGCTTGAAAGGCGTTGTTGGAGTGAGAATCAAGGGCCCGAATTCATAAGCAGAACGGAATCTTTAAATGTGTTTCGCCATGAGGAAACTCCGAAAATGTCTGTCATAATGCATGCTCCATACATAGCGGTTTCATTTTCCCATTGCGAGAGCGCCCAGTTGGCCGCTAGAGATTGGGATTTGCATTTCCTCACAACTTGTAAGGAAACATCATCTAAAATGTGAAATTTGTGACTTGAACAGGGCGTCAGCATGGATTGAGTCTGACACTCACTGCAAGTCAAAAGCGCTTCATCGACCCAGTTGTATTCCTTAGACATGGAAATGTCCGTGCGTCTTCCGGCTCCTGTTGAGTCCCAGATGTTTTCTCCGAGATGAGCCGAGACGGTATAGGCTTGAGGAACACTGGACGGGGTACGCTTGAAAACCACTCGACGTTGTGGGAGGCTTGAGGGTTCCATATCGCAGGCTCAAGGACAACTCTATAGCTCGAATTGATTAATAGAATAGAAATTGTGTTGTTCAATGAGCAGAGTCTAGCCAAAAGACGGCAGTGTGTGAGTTGAGCCTATAGTTCAACATGGGGGATTCTCACACATTTCTTGCATTTGGAGTGGCCTCGACGATGATTTGCGCTATTATGATGGTGTGACTACCCAGGTTTGAGAGAAGTTGTGTCCACTTGGAGCGAGTCAACATGGTGGTGAGTGGTGAAGAGGTAAACGGTATATTGCCCGAAGGTCACGGGTTTGCCACAGCTCATACCCTCGCTCTCCCAATCTGCATTCAGAATTATGTACATAGCGATCCGAGCATTACTTCCATACATACCAAGATTGATATCGCTATGCCGAGAGGAGACAATAACTTAAGTTACTTAATGTGTTCACAACCAAAACCATTCTACAACTCCACCAGCTCTACCGCTTCTCCTTCACGAAAAAGTGCAGTGTAAGATAACTAGCAGTCGTGAACACCACAAAGAAGATGCCCAGCAGCGATATGTTGGGCCACGAGAATGACTGCGTCACCAACAACGTCATTAGTCCCTTTCAACCTTTGAAAAAGAGGGCAAAACGGATGAACCTGGGCTCGAAGACCAAAGATGGAGAGGATGGTAGCCGCTGGGAGGTCCAGTTCAACTCCGTACTGCAATCTAGAGGTGAGCACAATGACACCGGGACAGACAAAAACCACACCTTTATCTCCTTCAGCTGAAGGTATCGCAGCTCATTCACAGCAAGAGCTTCAAACGCAGCAGGAAGAAAGACACCATATGAGCCACTGAACGCAGGCG